TCAATAAGCAATCCTGAAAAATATTTGGGGGTGCTTAACTTTTTTCCAGGTGTATATATATTACTTATCATAACAAATCATGTAATATATATATCAAAATAAAATAAGATGACTGCCTCCCCTCCTAAAAGGTAGTGAAACAACAAAATTCTTTGTTAACTGTATACAAATTTTGTAACACCACTTTCATAACTTACTATATATAAAGATTTATTTACGCGAGAACCGCCAAGGCCGTGAATTTGTACCTGTCTTTTGTCTGTCGGTTCTAGTGTTAAAGCACTTATAATTTATTAGTTGTTTTTTTTTATCTGAAAGATATAAATAACAACTCAACTTTATAAGTAATATACAAGTTCTATTTGGATTATTTGTGTGTTCGTGCAACATTAGCACATGCAGTTCTTGTAACCATCCGAAATCGTTAGATATCTCATGCTCACAATCATTACATAACGTTAAAATCAAAAACGGTTTCATTACCCGTGCGCCCCCAACCAGTCAAAACTAAATCACCATGAAAATATTTTTGAGACAATTGATTCGTCTAAAAATCGATTTTTTAAACTTGTTGCCGATCAATATTACCGAAATGCTGTCTAGTCGCGATATTCCTTTGATCAAAAGAGCTAAAATAAAACTAAAAACATGTTCTAAATTTAGAATGATCAAAGAAAGTACTGATTGAAGCTATTCTACGAAGTCGCAAATTATTTTGTGTGTGTAAAGACGAACTTTATGTAAGACTAAAATACTGAACAAGTGAATAAGATTAATTGAATACGATCCCAATGAATAGTTACGTAAACTTCAACACAAAAACGTCGTTAAATACTAAACAGAGAAGGATGCGTGGTGAGTTTATTTTTCTAAAAATTGAAATAACTTCAAAAAGGGGGAGAACTGCAAATAGGAGGTTAACTCACGCCACCTGTGTAACCACGTGAACTTCCTTTATTTCTCCACATATCATTACCCTTTTTTCGATTTTTCAAAAGTAACTATATTGTGCATGATTCTTGTCGGTGGTTTAGTGTGATATCACATCGATATTGTATTAGTTTGTCCCGGGTACTATCCGGTGAAGCGTTATTTACGGTAATCAAAAATTTTCTGAATATTCCTTTGAACAGAGAGTTTGTTTGTTTGTTTTGAATTTCACGCAAGGCTAGACGAGGGCTATCTGCGCTAGCCGTCCCTAATTTAGCAGTGTAAGACTAGAGGGAAGACAGCTAGTCATCACCATCCACCGCCAACTCTTGGGCTACTCTTTTACCAACGAATTGTGGGATTGACCATCACCTTATAACGTCTCCACAGCTGAAAGGGTGAGCACATTCGGTGTGACGGGGATTCGAAACCGCGACCCACAGATTGCGAGTCGAGCGCCCGACCGTCACATTATAATGTCCCCACGGCTGAAAGGGCGAACAAGTTCGGTGTGACGGGGATTCGAAACCGCGACTCGCAGATTGCGAGTCGAGCGCTCCTAACGATCAGACCAGAACTATTTTATATATATCCAAAAATACTGTCGAAAGTTAAGAATGATTACTTAAAAGTACCGAACGGGCTTTAATAAGAGACTGCCTATTAAAACTTTACATAAGAAAGCATCAGATAACTAGATTAAAAAAAAACTATTGTGGGGTATCTAAGATGCTTAGAAGATTTCAGTTCACTTTAAGAGAATAACAATCTGTTTATAAGTATTAATGAAACGTTTCTCACGAATTGTATTACAAAATCGAAAATCTTAGTTTTTGATTGAGTTGTGCTCTCACTGGGAAAATCGGTTTTAAAATTAATTATACTGTGCATACTTTTATATATAAGGAAGACTTGGAAACCGTGTATCTACAAGTCGTTGTTCATTTTATAATCCTCACTTGATCCTAACGCGAGTTAAAAATAATGTAAACGAAGCTTAATCATAACAGCTCACCTTATCGACCGCACGTGGTTCTAGACCACCTCGCTGGCGAGTGATTAAATACAGGTATTAAAATAAACAGCATAACGTAACTGCCTAATAGACAGTACCAACACATAAGAACGGAGTTTCTTAACGATGAAGTTAAAAGAATAAATATAGAAGCAATCTAGCATGTGTTCACTTGGCTGATGGGAACATCCTTGGAATTCACAAGGTAAACGTACCTTTTTACTACTGATAAAATGGACAGAACTATTCCAAAGATGTCAATTTTTACTTATTACAAAAATTCTGATTACACAAAAATCAGAATTTTTCCAAAATAGTGTGTTCACTAAACAGTACGGAAAACTTAATTTGTAAAATTAACAGTACCTATTCTTTGCGACCACAACTTTCCTCTGATTCATCCTACTGGTAGTTTTTCACCTTCATGTGTTTATTAGTTTCAAAAATACATTTATAATAAAAGATTAGGATATTCTAGTTTATAGCATTAAAATGGTCAGTTCTTCGTGATCACAACTTTCCCTTAACTGGTCCTATTTGTTGTCTTCCATTTTCAACGCGTCTGTTACATAGTCTCAGAAATTACAGGACTACTTAGGTTATCTGTAAAATATCTGGGTGAAATGTATACAGGATTTGAAGGGTATGTAACACTGATGCTACTAATTTATTCTTCTAAATTATTCAGAAAATAAGCTGTTTAAGATACTAAACTAAACGTGAAGCCCAATCTATAAAAAGCCCAGTCTTAATTTGTTTTCCGATTTGCCCTTTTCCAGAGTGACTGATGATGGGTGGCACTCCCCAAAACTGGCATAATTGAGCGACAACGGTTTCACACATTACTTTTAATGTACTTACATATGTTAGTTATGCCAACAGGAAATTTAAAATAACTTTTCGATTTGCCCTATAGTGGTTATTTCTGATGATAATGTTTTTTTATAATTAAAAAAAAATACTGTTTACATTCTAGTCACCAGTTCTTCTAAATGTTAATTCAAGTTAAATAAAAAAATCATAAACCTAATTCTGAGGTGTAATTGACTTAAATATATTTGATAATAATTTGAGTGCACCAACGTAATCTAGTTAAAACCGAAACAGTTGTTAAACTAATCCTTGATATAAAAACCCGTTTTGACCACTATTATGACTGTCGTATCTCGGATTTCCAGCTGGTCTGATGAGCCCTGGTATTAGGTTAAAGACCTCGTCGACACTCTATATTGTAGATATAGTGTAATCGACATATTGTTACATTCTTCTTTACTTTCACTTGTAAGTTCTTACCATAATCTCGTTCAAAAAGGGAGCTCGATAAAAATGAAATTCTCAAGAAAATGAGTATTTAAATTATTACCAATAATTATCATTTATTTATGAGAATAAAATGCTTTCAAATTCAATATTCATTATTGATAGTATAGAAACACAAACTTTTCTAAACAAAACAAAACCGATATTATATTCTTCATCTCCAAACTTGCAGTATTGGGCAATTTTTAGGTGCTACCTAAAACGTTACTGCATTTACTACTGCAATGTGCAAAGGTGTTAGTAAGGCAATGACAATGAAAGTAAATATTAACTGAAAAACCAAACCAAATATGTTATATAATTCTGATATTTCATGGTGAACTAACTACGCAGCAGATTTGAAAGTTCAACAATTACACCGTTATTGGACGAACGAATAAATAACGTTCAGACAGCACTGAAACTCCTATCCATCCGCTCGATCGATATCAGATTGGGCATAATTTCCTGCTCACATGTATGTGATTAAATATATAATAGGATTTATCCGCTGGGATATTTACTCAGCTTGTGACGACCTGAAAATAAATAATGCATAATCACATACACACACACACAAACTAAGAGAACACAAAATGTTTCGGGAAGCCGAGCACGTTCTAATGCCATACAAGTTCTCTATGATCAACTTTTAAAACTGTTTTTAAAACTTGTCTTTACACAAAATGACGTTAATAGTGTTTAAATGATGTGAGCGATGATTGATGGTGTATGGTTTTAAAACTGATGTGTAATCAGGTGCCCACGTAATAATCATCAAAAAGAATGCAAAGTGGAAGGGGGGGGGGGGAGTAAGTAGAAATTACTTAATACAATTTTATTGCTTATATGTTGTTGTTTTTCTTCGGGGGGGGGGACAGTACAATTTTCCCCCAATTTTACATTATCACTGGTGCCATTACCATTAGAATAAATTTATTCTGAAGTTGAGCAAGTATGACAGGTATTTTTTTTAAAGGCACATTCATTTGAAAACAAGCTGTTCCTACAAGTAACAAGCATATATACAAAAAATGTTGCTGCCTAGAATTTTACAGCTTCTAAAAAAAAATCTGTAATAATAATGTTGCAATTCAAGAATCTTACTTTAATTACTTTTTGGACAAAAGCACCAAATTGAATCGACACCATACAAAGTAATTAATCAATAAATAAAATACCAAAACAAAACAAAGCTAATCTACAATGTACATCTTAATGGTTGCTTTATTTAAATGTGATCTTTCCAGCCCCACAATGATAGCCGCAGGAAAAAAAAAGCTTATTGCCAAGTTTCACTTTTGAAAGTTGTCTTTCCAAATTTTGTTTAATTAGTTAGCTCATTTTATGAAAATTTAAGAAGAATTTTTCCAGTTATTATGGTAAAATTAGAAATGTCCTAATGAATAATGATGTACAATAAAACAGCTATAAAAAAAGGACATACAAAAAATAAAAGTAAAATATGCATTGTTTTGTCCACATTTAAATTTCAAAAAATTTATGTTTCTGGATGGCACACCTGATGATAGTAATTTGAATTTCTGAAGCATTTTATGTTATTATATTAATTTTAGTAAAATACATGTTTCTGGAACTTTGACTATATGTTCAAAGTTTAGTAATTCTGACTCCAAAAACAAGAAAAAAGTATTTAGCCTAAAACTATAATTAATACATTGGAGAACTTTATTTTATTGTCTGTCTATGCACAGGTAAGAGCAATATTCATTGTCATTTTACTGAAAACATTTTAAACTTTATAATAAAAATATTTCCATAATTTATGGACAAAGGCCACACCAAACAAGCTAAATAAAAGTTATTTTTTCTTCTGCTACTTCTTACAATTATTTTATTCTGACTGTTTTTTCACTCTAATATAAATTAACTAATCCAGCACAATACTTTTGTTTTAGGTTTAGCATTTTAAGGTTACTTGCACAGCTATTATTACTCCAAGTATCACAGTTACTCCGTAAAGCATTAACACAATTATGTTTATTAACAGTTTCATGTTGCTGGGCCCCTGTCATACTAGTAGCATCCTATACAGTACACCTTTGCAGTGAAGTTATGGTTCAATCACACAAGTGTGAATATAAACCTTTGCAGCACATCAGTTTAGTTGAAAAACAATTATTAACACAAGTCAATTTGACTTGTATAAATAGTGACAATTTACAAATACTTACAACAAGAAATAAACTATTATAATTATAATTTGCTTGCTATAGTACCATGAACAAAACTTAAGAATAACTTATACACATAAGATGCATGAAATAAATATTAACCACATGTATCTAACTTTGTATGTGAGCAATATTTTCAAAAAAGTTAACTTAGCTATCACATCAATATAAAAATATCTGCACATAAAATTAAAACAGAAGTAATTAAATTTTAATTACATTATGTAACCAAACATTTGCTATACATTATACATATAGTTTCTATCATCAAAATATAAAGGCAATCTTAAATGAAATTGCAATCACTGAAAACTTTTACAAACTCAAAAGTATATATTACATTAATATTTTATAAAATTGAACGTGTACTTTACATGATAATTGCATTTCACCATGTAGTTGTAAAACTATGATACATAAGTATGGCATGTTTCTGTACAAGTTGCAAGTGTGTTTAATGTTGTAAGTCTGTGTAATTATTTCAAATACTAAATGAATATTATTCTGTGAAGATTAATAGAATTTATTGCATGCAAATTGCTTTAAAAGTTGTAAAAGGGTATGTGATATTCTATACCAATAAATTATTACTTTAAAAAATATTAAAAACTCTTCATAGTTCTAAGGATACATTTTGAGTTGTACACATCTTCGTTAAATGTTATTAGATGGAACTTTTAAGTGTTATAAATGTTATTAATTCAAAAGTATTGATCTTGAAACAATTTATCAACTCCCAAATAATATTCTTTAAATTTATTTAACAAAGCTAATAAAAACAAAAAACATTTTGGCCTAAGACCTGTAATAATAATTTCAACTGAATATATTTTAAAACAAATAATTTGCTAAATTTATGAAATATCCAAGTCCCCTATACTGTCAAAGGAACAAAATCAGTTACTAATTCTTTGAAACAAAATATCAATAAAATTAAGATTTTTTCAGAATATATTTAAAATGTTCTCATCATAAAAACAAAGCATAAAAAGAGGTATATTTTAATGATTTATTGTTTATAGTCATTGTACTGAACTTGACAAGACTGACTTTTTTTTATCTAATATTTATAAACACACACATTATTATTGTACATGAACCAATGACATTTTTTAGAGCAGCTTTGGGCTCTTTCTAATAGTTCTGAGCTCAATGTTTTATAAATTTCAACAACTTGTATAATTAAGGAAATAAAAAAAAAGTATTGTAAACTATAAAAAGGGCTTGTTCCAATGAAAAGCTACAAAATTAAGCAATTTATCTAGAGAAGGAATAAACTTCTCCATTTTCGTATTAAAGTTAACAAACGTTTTTATTACTTTAGCATAACCTAGTTTCTAAATTAATTTTCAAAAACTTAAAAATGAAATAAAAACTACATTTGTAATTACATACATTAGTACATTAAACTAACATTTCACAATCAAACTACATCTCAGAACAATATAAAAAAAATTAAACTTCAATATAATCATTCACCTCTTGCTGATAACTTCTTTGTATTGATAATTTTTGCTGCAAATTCTAATCCAGAAGACTTCTGAACACATCTTCTTACTATTGAAAAAGCACCCCTGTAAGATAAGAAAAAAAATCTCCCTCTCAAAACGTGATTTCTATGGAAGAACAGCATAATTTCTGCAGTTTTAACAAATTTACAATCTTATGTTACTGATACAAGTTTATTCCATACAAATGCTATATATTAACAAAAGGAAAAAAAATTGAAAATCAATACATAGTTTATTTTGCAATTTTTCTATGACAAGTATCTTTTGCATTTGAAATCTACTATTTTCTTCAATACTTTACCTATTTGTCAGCTTTCATTTCAACCCTTTTACACAGATTAGGCCAACCTTTATTTTTAAAATGTTTTACTAAACTGACAAGTTTTCTGAATTTGTACATTTTTTTAGATTAAATACACTACAGAAGATATTTATTTTATAAAACATAAAACAACGTTGACAAGATACAAAAGGTCAATTTTTGGAACATTAAAGTCTACGTGTCAGGATCCTTTCAAAATATATGTATGAACCTACCACAACTTAACTTATGAACAATAAAGATCATTTGACCCTTTGAGACTGTCCCTGTACACTCACCCTTGAGAAAAAGTAAAAATTGTACTTCATCCTTCATTTTTCAGAAATGTACCTCTTCCCCTTTTACATTTCCTTAAGGATACCAGCCTAGTGGTAATCCACAACTCATTTCATAAAATAACCATCTTGTTAGAAAACTAAAAATGTCTTAACTGAAGCCTAGTCTATTTTTTTTTTTCCAAATCTTTGGATACCACACAAAGAAAGCAAAAGTCCTTATTCTGTCAGACCTCTGAATAATCTTGTAAGCTTTAATAAAATAACCCCTGGCTCTTCTTTTCTCAAGAAAACAAAACAAGACATTTTAACCTGTTCCCCATAAGACATACACTTGAGCCCCAGTTAATACTGTTACAAAAAAAAAGCTTCTGCAGGATTAAAATATAAAATGAATTCAAGTACAACACTGAAATGTAACACAAAACAGCTAATAGAAAAAAGTTCTTTTACAACAATTAAAGCACATATTTTTCATTCTGAACATATCTACATTAACTGAAGAAATAGCATCAAAAGATAGAACTATGAAACTACATATAGCATCAAGAGATAGAACTATGATTTAGCTGTAGCATCAAGAGAGAGCACTCTGAATCCAGCTGTAGCATCAAGAGAGAGCACTCTGAATCCAGCTGTAGCATCAAGAGAGAGCACTCTGAATCCAGCTGTAGCATCAAGAGATAGCAATCTGAATCTAGCTGTAGCATCAAGAGATAACACTCTGAATCTAGCTGTAGCATCAAGAGATAGCAATCTGAATCTAGCTGTAGCATCAAGAGATAACACTCTGAATCTAGATGCAGGTTTGTACTCCAAGAAACTACTTTAGTGAGTGCCTAGTTCGAAAACAACAACAAAAAATAAACACACCAAAATTATTGGATTGTGTTTATCAGCTTGGTTTCCTACAAGTTACTATTAAACAAAAATGGAGGACAAATGCTTCATTTAGTTCTAAAGGATGCAGACAAAAGCCACTTTAAGTTATGAAAACTAGACTATAAAATTCAGACATTTTAAAATTCTAGGAGTATTTAAAATTGTCTATAGGCTGTATGTATGAATGGTGAAATAATACTATTGGAAGTAGGGGACTTAGATAAAAGGGTAATATAAATATAACCTTGATCTCGAGCAAAACTACTCAGTTATAAAATTATGTATAGTTTGTCTCACGGTGTGGTATGGTATTGATGTTGGTAATTTATGGATGATGACTTAAGTAGTTAGTTTGGCAGAGAAAAATTGAATTTGATGAGGTTGGTGGTTCTCTATCACTGTTTTCTAAGAAGGTGATAAATTGTTATTTCTCTTGCTTATTGGTTGTTATATTTGAATCACAAAACTGTTCTTTTCAACTCATAATTTTTATTAAAGTAATACCTTAGACTTGACTTTAAAACACTAATGTTATTCTATGTCTTACAATTTCACCATGAGATAAGAAAGCATGATGTACTTTCTCACACACAGTCAGCAAAAATATCCTTCGGTGAACTTCAAGCAGTTCTTGAATTGTCAAGTGAGTATATGCCTACGAGTTTAAGACATTAATTCATGAACCACTTGTTGGACTATATGTAGGCACTACTATTCTTTACTAAATGTAAACTACCATTTCAACAGTGAACTTTATTTTCATATCTGAATATGTAACCGTATTTCACTTTCAAACATTTCCTGTTCAATAATTTTGCTGACTTCACAGATAATATTAGTATTGCATGCCCTCTCACAATGTCAACAGGTTATGTACAGAATAATACTAAATGCTTTTTCTAGAAAATGTTTACTGTTCTTTACTAGTGAGATATCACATTCAGTTATAAACCCTACATTTCCTCTACTATAATCATTCTTACGAGTTTTATACCTGTATTATACATGTATGTTGATACTGTGAGAGAGTCTGCCATAGATATTTTACACATAGTCAACTTAATTGCTAAGCAATGAAGTTAAAAGAAAGACCTCTTGGTAAAATTGTTAGATGGCAAAATGTAGCCAAATAAGTTGATAAGATTTATATTCAAAGTGATGAGAAAGTATGAACATGCACAAAGGAGAAACACTGGAAACTTAGGATTTAATTTGTATAATAATTCCCACAATAATTGGTGTACTATATAAAAATAAATTACTGCATACTAATTACAAGTTCACATCCACTATAAACAAACTTTTGCTTATAAAATGGTTTAATTAAATTTAATCTAAAATAGTTATGCTAAGCATTGTGGTCACCAGAGATCATAATTAAAATATAAGTGTTTAAAAAATTAAATACACTACAATAGATATAAAAACTATGCATATTTCTAGTTATGTTTCACCAGTAAGTTTGTGTGTATTTCATATTTGGTTACTAACTAACAGATACAAATTAACATTTACTCTTTATCAAAACTACTTTATTTTGCTAATTTTGAATTATTGGTTTATTAAGTCAAAAGTATGCTACATACTGAGGTAGGTTAACCCAAGTATGAATTCCTAATCCTAAAATTTTCTTATTTAAGGCTCAGATAAAATACATCCAGTATTTCATATAACTTATATTTGTAAGCAATTAGATGCACATGAGGGTAGCTGAGTGGGCTTAAGCCCCTACCATTCTGCTTTTATGCCTTTAAAGTGCCTGTTTTCTCAGTCATATAGATTGCCCATAACTACTAAAAAATTAAAAGACACCCATGATGCCACACCTTGCTTGCTAAGAGTTACTTGGGGAGAAAAAAAAAGATTTCAACTTTAAAATAAATGGCACTCAGGGTCTTGAACTGAAGGTGTTTACAGTAAAAACATTATTATGATATGCTATTAAGTGTTAATACATAATAATTCATTGCTTAGTTTTAGATTTTAATAAGTATTTATAAGACCAATTGAATAGGAGTAGAAGAGAATCTGTGTGCTTCTTATGGCTTTTTACCCTATGTGTACTGAAGGCAACCCATAGTCACCTCCAACATCTTCCCCTTGCCTTATGATGCTTGAAAAGGGCTTGTTATTGTCAATGAGCTTCTGACCTTTTAATGTCCTTTACACATTATTACTTATATAAATAATGTTGTTTTAACTGTAGGGCCTACTATTAACACTGCAGTAACACAGTAAAGGAGTAATAGTAATATTACTTCAGCAACTTACACTATACTCTACAGGCAGTACGGTAGCAACATGATTCAAAGTCAAACTCTTACGCCCAGAGTTAAGCTTGACTTTAAATTACACTAACTGTCAGTACTACATTTATATATGACTTAAGTTAGTGATTAGGTCATACTCATATTCATGATGCATATTTCTCGCACCCACTTTAGAAGTTTAGTTTCACTTTCAGTTCAAGTTTAAAATTAAACTGTAATTCAGTACTGGCATTAGTACTTCTACTTCTTTTATAATAACAAAGAAAAAACAAGAATACTTACTTCCCCAGCTCCTCTTTAAGTTCATAATTATCACTAAACCTCGTGCAGATGTTCGGAACAGCCATCATAACAACCCCCTCCGACCTACTAACAAAATTATAATGACAAGGTTTCTTCAAATCTCGCATTGCATGTCTCTAGAAAAGAAAATGGTGCTTTATCATTGCGCGTGCGCGATAGTATATTGAATATGTATGTACAAAAGCAAAACAAAACAAAAACATTTTAACTTCTTTCAATACAATGAGCGTAGAGATAGAAAAATCATAATAGATTTAATTATTATTTTGTTTATTTATTGATTTTCACGCAGTTATATGAGCTGTCTTGATAGAGCTGATAGACTAGAGGTCAACACCACCCATCGCTTACTCTTGAGTTACTCTTTTATCAACAAATAATAGGATTTATCGTGGTGTATATTGCCCCCATAGATGAAGGGGGCCAGCATGTTCGATGATAGGATTCAAACTTGCGACCTGCAAATTGCGAATTGAGTGTCCTAACCATTAGGCCTTGCCAAGCCGATTTATTTATCTAAAACTAATTTTAAGTATCTTTTGTTGATGTATATTAATTTTTTTCTGCGTGAAAACTTAAGTTCCTTAATTGGTGCATTTTAATATATTTTGGATAAACAAAATGGTTGCATAAAAAAAGAAGAATCGTATAATATTTCAATTAATGAGTAATATTATCTGAAAGATATAAGCACGCGGGAACTAATTGTCTTGGTCAATATGCTTAGCTCGAAGAGAAAAACGAAATAAAAGGCTATCATTATTTAATGTCTATAGGATATGTCATTAGTAATTTTCTGAAAAATTTAGAGATGCCTATTACTTTTTTATTATCAGTTCAAATTTTCACAAGAGTGCTAATATATATTTTAAATCTTGTATTAAAAATAAAAAACATATGATGGATATTTTGTTTTACCTATACGTGATCGTTAAGTGATGAGTATCATTAACTTCATTATAGGTTATCAAAATTCTTATTTGCTCATGCAGATTTAATAATGCCTTAAAGTATATTGTTACATTGAAACAAACTTTATTGTTGTTTGTTAGTGTTGTTTGATACATCACTTTGACGCTCACGTGCTTTCCTTAAGTTTAAATTTATTTCTGCTCTAATCATTTCAGGTTTTATCACGCGATAATGTCAGGTTAAACTGATGAAACGTCGTGAAATGTTTTGTCTATAAAGTGATAAAAAATAACGTAGAAAATCTGATAATCAAGTAGTGCCGTCTGTATATCATATTTGTATACAGAATAAACGGATATCATCTTGTCCAAAGTACTGCCATGTTTCATTAAAAAAATTATATTTTTTTAATGTGTTTATCTTTCAAAACCTTTACAATTGTATTAAATTAATATGAAGTTTCTGAAATACGATTATTCATACTAAATTATTAAAAAAAAGAAAGGAAGTGTGTGTAATAACTTAATCTGTTCTTCCAATTTATTCTTATTGTAATAAGTATATATCTCAAACACATTAATATTATATGACTTTGTATTTTTATCGATTTTTGAAAGCTACAAGTTTTTGTTTTTTTTAACATTGTAACGAATTTATCATTATGTATTTATTTTCAATATGAACGTTGTTTGGATTGAATTTGTATTTGGAAATATGCGTGACTTGTAGTATCAGATATGTATTACATATAACGAATTTTTTATATATTTATTTTAATCTCAACATTTGTTTCGAATAAGTTTATATTTGAGGGAGTGTCTAGACTATCGTGTTAGTTACGTATGGTGAAACTCCCGCCAATTCTCCAAGATTGTAGAATATTTGTAAAGACAAGAATCAACAATATGTCCACTTCCGTAATCGGTATTATCAGAAGTTTCTAGAAAATGTGTCTCGCCTATAAAAACAACAGAGAACAGATAAGTCTACTAGGAAACTGTTATAACCGTGTAAGCTATAAACTATAATTTTGTTAACCCTTATCAAC